CAGGGGTCTTCAACTTCGACGTGCTCGTTACGGAACGAGCACGCTCTCTTCAAACGTCACGCATTGACCAAACGGCCAATGGTGGTTGACGGGCCGAGACTGGCACGACTAACCTTGACGGGGAATGGTGTGACGGGGTTACACGCACAAGTGGCTACAGTCACTTGTTACTCTAACAGATGCGATGTCCGTTAGAGGTTTGAACACTTCCTCGATCTTGGTGTAAGGTACACCAATGACTACATACATTTACGACCACCACGACGGGTGGTCCATACACATTTAGGATTCCTATTGGCTGAAAGCAGCATCTTTTAGCCAATGAGTGACTTGCATGTTAGCAGAATCCTGCCAACCAGCCGTTGGCAGATTCCTAGTTTAGAATATTACATTTAGAGGAAGTCAGAAACATAAAACAAGAATAGCAGTTCTCATTTTAACCCAAAAACATTATTTGGATCGTTTATTTAGATTAATTTATACTCGGAGGCCCGAGTATAATTAACTTTAATTTAAACTAAGCTACGCTTCCTCACATACACGCGCACACGTGTAAGCTAAAGTAGTGAGTCAAAGTAGGCCCATTACAATTGGGTTTTGGACGGACATCACCTGGATATCGGTTGCTGCACTTACGAATGGGGAAAATTGTGGAAGCACGAGTTATGCGCTTTCTCGAGGATATTACTGTAAGCCGGTCACATATCAACTCACTGCTGGTGGGGCAACAAGCAAATTACAAGCTGATACCATTGGTTCAACTTCCTGTGGAATACGAGGCAACGGAGAGGGCGAGGGGCTCAGCCGCACAAACGGTAGGTGCGAATATCCCGAAGAATGCAGATACAACTCCATCTAATAACGCTGGTGCTAACGATGAATCATCTTCCAGCGGCAGCGAAGACTCAGAGCCTGAGGACGAGCCGCTGCAGGAAACGGGGAGGAAAACGTGGGGAATCATTCTCAACCGCAAACGACTGGACGTCTGCAAGCCGGAGCTCAGCGCGGTGGTGGACGAAGGCCTACTCCACGTCAAACTCGACGACAACGCCGAGCAGTAGCTGCAAACGCTGGTCAGCAAGAAAATGGTGAACCGCTTCGAAGATCAACTCGAACGACACGACTTAATGTCAGACTAGACGGGTACGTCCTCACGCTCGAGGAGGAATTCGTCGGAAAACCAGGGTCAGCGGAAGAAGCGATGCGGTCAACTAAGTGGCGAGCTGCAATGACGGAAGAATGTGAGTCCTGGATAATGGTGGACAGACCTAAGTCATCGAAGGGTAAACCAGTCAAGGTGCTGACGACAAAATGGGTGTTTATCATAAAACGCGAGAACGTGACGAGACGGAAATCAATGATCCTTCTATCCCTTACCGTGAAACCGTGGGAAAATTGCAGTACCTGGTTACCTGTGCCCGTCCGGATATCGCCAATGCCACCCGATGTATCGGGCGTCACGCTGGAGCGTATACAAAAGAGAATTTCGCAAGTGCTAAGCGCGTGTTGCAGTATCTGATGGGTACAAGCACGTTTTGGATTGGTGTATCGCCGATCGGAGGCGAAACCAGCAGCGCAACTACAGCTGCGGGCGTATAGTGACACTGATCACGCGAACGGTCCGGACACCGGGAGATCGGTTACGGGATACGTGCTCCAACTGAATGGTTACAGCTTCGGCTTCAAGAGCAAGAAGCAGGAACGTGTCACGGATGATACGTGTAGTCGGAACTGATTGCGGCCAGTAAGAGCGTCGAGGACCTGCTGCTGGCGCAGAATCTGCTCACGGAAATAGGCATGAAGCCAATGGTCGCGGATCTGCATTGTGATAATCAGAGCACGCTAAAAGTGTGCGAACACATCGGAAACTATGACGGTGTGAAGCGGCTAGCAAAGATGAGTCTCAAAATTGCTGAACTTGTCGAAGCTAACGAATTGTCGCTGAGCTACGTTCCTACTGCAGGCAACATGGCAGGCATGTTTACCAAGGCTCTAGGACCACAGTGATTTGAACGGCTGAGGGAGCTGCTTGGAGTCGAGGACGTAGTTGAGGCGGTTGCATATGCACGCCTGCCAGCTCGGCATGATCGAGTTGGAGACAAGGATATGAGTTCCGGGTAAGTATGAGCGTTAGAGATCGGACGCGGTCGTACTCTACTCTCTCGTAGTCACTCATGTCCTGGTCGTGTCCTAGATGGATACTAGGAGTCGGCCTACAAGCCCGATTGATGGGTTGTTTGGTCAAAGGGGGGGGGGGGGGTAAGGTTCATGCTTTCTTCCTCGTGCACGGTACGTATAGGAGTTATGCCTTGCAGGCATGTGTTGAATGAATCACTCTGAGTTTTAATCTACAACCGACAAGTGTCTTCCTGTCTTCCTACTCCTCTTTGCCACTCACTCGCAGCGCTAAAGCTGCTATGAGCAGCAGCTCACGGACAGCCACTCGCTGGCGGACGAGTACTGGTTGGTGGACGGTGGGAAAGGTTAACCCACCGGCGACCGTTATCCCGATTTTGCTGGGATAAGAAAAACCTCGGGGGAAAGTGCCGGTTCAAACCATACAGGTGGTTAGGGTAACTGCGACTCTTCAAGGTCCCGCCGAGAGCGTTTTGGCTAATGCGATCTGTTTGCGGATTTCTCACCTTGAAAGGTAGATGGGCGTGGGTGCCGGGCTTCCGCGCCACCATTGGCCACCGCACAAGCATTTACACCCGCAGATTGCCAGGTGCCCGCGAAGGATTAGCGCTTCTCCGCTATGGTAAAATTCTGAGTTGATAGGATGCACCGCTCACTAATGTTAACTTTCTTTTCCCTTGTATCATTGCCTTCTATAGATGCCTTCACACGCGCGAGGTACGCTGGTCGAGGAGCTACGAGTACGGCTCTGCCGGTGCCACTGCGAAGACCGAGTTGTTTCGATCGAGACCTGGACGCTCCTATTCGTGGAGGAGCCCGACCGCTACTTCGGCAATGTACGTGAGGCGTCAGGGCTACTGGAGCTTTAGCAGAATGGAGGCTGATGCTGAGAGATGTTGTGGACTCGGTACGTGTGCGAGCTGGACACCATCTTCAACCCCCACAAGGTATGGCGGCGTCTTGGCTGCTTTGGCGATCATATCTAGGGGCTCATGCTGGTGTTGTTGTTGTCGACAGGCGTATTACATTCAGAACGAGCTGTTCACCGGCTACTCCCGGCAGGAGTTGAGCAAGGAGGCGATCTTGCGCATCTGCGCCCACCTAAGCTACGTGCCTCCACCGCTGAAACCATGCGGGTGCCGACACTTCACCCTAATGCGAGTCGACTCCACAGCGAATGTCCAAGCGCGATGCCGAAGGCACGACGGTGGAAACAAGCGGCAGGGAGGACGCCGAGAGCACGACAGGGACAGCGGGGTGTGGCAAGACTCCAAGAACGACAGATACAACGGCGGCTTGAAGCATGGAGTCTTCATGGTCAGCTGGGGTCTGGTTACGGAGCCCACGATGCCGTACGTCGACTCGAGTAAGCTCGTCCGCTACGAACGCTTCATCTTGCATTGGGTTCTCTAGACCTCGTATGACAGCTCATGGGGCGACAGCGGCTTCATTACGCTGTCAAACTCAACTGCAGGTCGAAGTTGATTAGAGTTGTGATTGATTTTCATGCAATTAATACATAGTCGTTCGTTTGACCCTCGGCGGCAATGTTAGAGTACTGATCGTAGTTACTGCATCGACCATCTTGGTTCAGCTGCGTACAGGTGTAAATCCCGAAGGGAGCTGCTGTAAGTCATCGGAACCTGAATTGTTTTCAGTAACTTCCACCGCTTGCAAAACGAATTTCGGCACGTATTACGATGCCGCGGACACACTCGTGTTGTCAGTGCCACCAGACGTAGATGAGGTAGCTTCATGCACAAAGCACGCATTGCTAAAACCACATCTTCTTCGAACACAGTGTCGTGGCAAAATAAAAGGGTGGCGGAGCTGATAAGGGAGCTGGGTTGAGCCAACTTCGAGTCTGGATCAGCATTGATAACAGTATCGCTGCCTTCAGCAATATTGCGGATGTCTGCGGTGACGACGCTGATCTTGAGCAAGTGTGGAAAGCGCGATGCCCTAGACGCAATCAGCTCCATACCTCTAGCGGCCAGGTCACGTTGGATCTCAATACCAACCACACGAAACGCTTGCGTTTGCAGAGCGATTTGAGCGAGAACATTTCCCACGCCGGATCCAGCATCCAGAAACACGCCATTCACTTGAATATTCGCTTCTTCGATCAGCATGGACACCCCAGCCATTGTAATCTCCCCGGTATTTAGCTGACGTTCACTCGCGCGCACATCACGCCTGGTGAGTAGGCAGAATAGTCCTTCAGTGGCGTTGTAGGTTTCTTGCGGTGATAGGATCGAAATGGTATGTGGTGAAGGCGAAAACCGTAGAGGAGACGCGGCTTTGGCTTCCAAATGCAGTCCTGCTCGGTCTGGTGGCGGGCGGAAATAGCGTGGGGGAAACTCAGCACGTTATTGCCATATCGTCTCTTGAGCGTCTTGATTCGCTGTTGCAGTTTGGTTGCGCTCCATGTTGTCGGCCTCATGTCTTTCTCCACTGACACTCAGTCGATTCGGCTTCCCGCTTGCTCGTACACCGCCGCGAGCTGAACGAGTTGGCGATCCTCTTCATCTGAAAAGTCAGCATTTTTCGCTTCGGATACTGTCTATACAAACTCAAGTAAAACGACCCTTTGGGGGTTCATACTGAAACCGAGTTTATTTTTTTTTGGATTTGTAAGTCAACGTTGGGTCGCTGTCGACCGAGTCAATGTAGACTCGTTCAGAGTCGACGTTGACTTCGCTATTACTGAAACTAGTACGTTTGAGTCAATGTCGACTTGGTTTAAGTCCATGTTGACTTCGCGATCAATACAACAAGCGTGTTCGAGTCACAGTTGACTCGCTCTAAGTCATCGGTGACTTGGAAATGTGTATTCATTCATCGTTACGCAGCAGCACACACAACTACAGCAGGATGGCACTCTCAAACGCAGCCAATGCTTCCATTATCTTCGCGCATACACACGCGTATCTGCCGTGGTCCATCGAGTGAATGACGGTACCTGTCTTGTCGTGGACCAACTCATTTCTTTTCACCCAGAACTCGACCGCAAGCGCCTTGAACTCTTCAGCGTCCGCCGTCTTCGATCCAAACGCCTCCTTCATTTTGCCCAGAATGAGTCGCGCTTCTTCTGCATTGTGCTCGTGTTACCTACATTTTTTTCAATCCAGAGACAATGGAAGTCAAACAATGTCAAACCACACTGAAGCAGAAACTCAAGCGGCATACCATTTCGGATCTCGGCGTTCCATTCTGTGAACTCTTCGATAGCTCCCTTGGTCACCGCGCTATACTTGTACGTATGCAGCTGCAGCTCTCGTCTCGCGATGGTGTCTTGCAATCCGCTGTTCTCCGTTTTCACCGCCTCTAGCGCAGCCTTCATCGATTCCAACTGCGTTCTCACTCCATCCCGTTCTGCTTGCATCGCCGCCCTCTCTTCCTCGATCCGGTTGCGGTTGGCTTCGAGCTCTTTAAACGCAGCTGGGCACCCGTTGTTCTTGAACTGCTCTTCCAGGAGCCGGGTCTGGCGCTTCATTTCATTCAAAATCTTCGCCTGCTTCAGCGATATTCGGCCTCCTTGTTGCTTCGCTCGACTCGGCTTCTCTCGTTTCTTTTTATCCGCGTCCAACTGCTCCCGCTCCCGTTGCAGGCGATGCGTTACGTTCCAGAGACGCCAGTCCTCCTCTTTGAGCTTGGCGTCATGAGATTGCAGCTCCTCGGCTTTGACTTGTAGTTCTTCCTCCTTGTTCTCCATATTCTTATCTCTCGTAGCCTCCTCGTTCTCCCGGCCCTCCAGTTTTTTCTTGCGCTCGTCCACCTCTCTCGTGAGGTTGTTCATGTCTTCGTGCACATCCTGGAGTTTCTTAGCATGACTAGCCTGCGCCTTAAGTAGATTGTCTGCGTGCGTGGTGACGGATTGCTTCGACAAATTCAACTCAGTTTCCACATGGGCAAGTTTGTTGCACCACTTGAAATCGCCTTCTCCTCGGCTAGTTTTGCAGCCGTCTTCTTCCACTCATGCGCTATCACGGTACATCTGTCGTCACCACTGCCATCACCACTGCCATCATTCCTAAGTTCGGCCAGCTCCTTCGCAGCGGCTGCTAACTGCTCCTCTAATTTCCTTGAGCGTGCTTGTACCTCCTCCAGCTGTCGAGCCCCTTGCTGCTTCTCTTCATCCAGCTTCTCTCGGAACTGCTGCAGTGCTTGCGAAATGGTATTTTCAAGATGCGCATACCCCCTTCGCAAAGGGTGGGTTTGCAGGCTCCGAGCTGGGGCACCTTCCTCCTGCACGGCCACGGGTGTCTGCGAGATTGGAGGCCCTGGAGCTTGGTCTGACGCTAGCGATGCTTGGTTTCTGGCTGCGGTAAGCTGCTGAGCCGCCTGGATGTCGCATTGCTCGATCGCCAGGTGCTCGGCTCCGCCACGTTGCGATAGCTTCGACGAACCCGATCCAGCGGTCTGCGCGTGTGCGTCTGCTTTCAGGGCTTGGTCCGCTAAGTAAAACTCGTAGAACTCTTTCAGCAGCGCAGGCTCGTGACGCTGGAGCTCTTCTGGGTTGTTTTTGAACGCCTTGAATTGAGTCAACTTGCTCAAAGCCTCGTAGTCCAAGTCGTTGCTGCTGTTCCTAGCAGCTGTGTATTTCTCCGCCCACACACGCTTCTGGTAGTCTGCCATCTTGTAGTAATCACCTGCCTTGCGCCGTGGGCCTTGCCGGTGCTCGCCCTTTTCGTCTGCGATCTTCTTTTGTAGAGCCAAGCACGTGGACCGGAGCGCGTGCTTGGGTACCAGGGGAGTCGTCTCTTCATCGCGAGTCGTCGCCTCGTCCTCCGATGCACTCGCGGCGCCCAACTCGCGCGTCGTCACGTTGGATCCTTCGCCAGTCTTCTTGGCAGTCTTCCTCTGCTTACGGGGGCTTGGCGAAGTGTCTGGCGAAGTGTCTGGCCCCTCCCCCTTCTTCCGCTTCTGCTTGGGGCATTGCCGGTGGCAGGCGTGGTCTTGGCAGCGTTTGCTGACTTGCCAGTGGGCGCGCTCGTCCGCTTTGTCGCTGGCTTGTCCATCGCCTTTGCAGCTTTCTTGATCCTCGTCATGGGCGCCTGGCGAGCAGCACCGCCAGCAGTTCCCTCGCTCTCTGCAGCCTGAGATCGCTTCGCCATCAGCATCGCCATCAGCACTTTGCTGCAGTCAAGGTTCTTTGAGAAAGTGAAACCGCAAATCCTACAGTTGAAATAAATTGATGTGGACCAATTCGATTTAGAATCAAGAGGACTGATAGTCAACGTTTACTTGGTATAAGTCGTTGTTGAGCTGGCTTCAGTAACAAGTGTCTAAGCCAGCGTAGACACGTTCCAAGTCGTAGTCGACTTGGTGACTCAATGAGAGATGTACGAGTAGATGCACATGGTTGTCTTTACAAAAAGAAGCAGAAGTGGTGAGATAAGCGCCAACACAAGAGTGGATACGTCAAATTAGAGATTTACTGAAGCTACCAGTCACCTCTTCGGCATTGCCGGAGCACGTTAGCGATCACGCATAAACTCTTCCAGCGTGATGATGTAGGCGCGCGGCATATTGACGGTGGTCAGCTCGTTATCGATGTGCAGCTCATCGACGGTGTCCACCTCGTTGTCTAGGCGCGGTTCCTCCGGTGCGTTGTGTCTCCAGATGTTGAAGTACTCCACGAAAGTGCGACCAGGGATAGCGTGACCAACACGATTAGCTCGTTCCAAGAGCTATGTTGCTTCCGCTATGCCAGGGGGGCATTCGAACGCAGCAACCGCAAGCTTGTCCGAGGGAATGTGCAGATCCTGATAGCGCTCAAAATCATCCATCCGAAGGTTGCAGTTGTCGACGATAACGATATCCACGCCACGGTCGGGGCTGCGCCACAGGAGTTCTCTGCATTGTTCGTTGCAGCTTCGATGCACCTCCCAAAGCCGACTCGCGTCGAACACATAGGATCCTTCGCGCTGAAAGAAGAGGTCAGCTGAGCAAATCGATGCGCGGAAATCAACCGTTGCTGCATAACGAGCGACCTCTTGAGCAAACGTTGTCTTCCCACTGCCCGGGAGGCCTCTCATGATCACGAAGAGCCGAGGCGGGTACTGCATATACGCGCGGCAGTCCTCCCAATACACCCGGTAGTCGTCAACGATTTGTCGGGCTTTGAACTCCATTTCTCACACGTCGGATGTCGTCGAACCTCCAAGATTCCGCTGCTTCTGATGTTGACCACACCATATCACCGACCATGTGTGAACACACATAACATAAGTCAACATTGACCTGGGATAGTCAACATCGACATCTTGGCCGGACAGTTGCGCTCCTGGACGGTCTCAGCGGCGTGGGCGACCGTCGGCCAGCATTTCGGCGAGCCCGGCTACAGCGTCACGGGGAGCGTAGCGGTAGCGGGGACAGCGAGAGCAGCATGACGAGCATGGCGGCGGCCGGCACAGCGAGAGCAGCACGGCGGGCATTGCGGCGGCCGGCACAGCGACAGCAGCATGGCGAGAAGGTGAGCATGGCGGCGGCAGGGGCGACCGTCGGGCAGCATTCCGGTGAGCCCGGCCACAGCGTCACGGCGAGCGTAGCGGTAGCGGGGACAGCGAGAGCAGCATGACGAGCATGGCGGCGGCCGGCACAGCGACAGCAGCATGGCGAGATGGTGAGCATGGCGGCGGCACGGGCGACCGTCGGGCAGTATTCTGGTGAGCCCGGTCACAGCGTCACGGCGAGCGTAGCGGTAGCGGGGACAGCGAAAGCAGCACGACGACCATGGCGGCGGCCGGCACAGCGAGAGCAGCACGACGACCATGGCGGCGGCCTTGGCGGCGACGGCATAGGTGGGGAAGCGCGCTGGAGCAGTAGCTGCCGATTTCGGAAATGAGGTTTGGGATTGAGCGCGCGGAAACGATCTTCTGGCACGGATCGCAGCGCGAGCGTGATTGGCCGCGAATTGGCTGGCCAATCACACGATGACCCCTCCGCCTTTATTTTACTGCATTTTACTACATATAGGAGCCCACACACCGCTTGACCTCCCGTGCCGCGCCACCGTGCTCCCGGCTGGGAGGCGGCGAGCCGCGGTGGCGCGGCACTGGCGATTCGGCCGGCCAAGTCACCACTGACATCTCCATGCAGCCCCCAAAGCTCCCGGGAGCACTATTGCCAACGGACGCGAATTACCCTCGACTTTCGCCATACCACCGATACCAGCCACCCTCGGACCGCAGAACGCACCTCACCAGGCGAGGCGGCGAGTTGCGGTGGCGCGGCACGGGAGGTCAAGCGGTGTGTGGGCTCCTATATGTAGTAAAATGCAGTAAAATAAAGGAGGAGGGGTCATCAACCATCCGTGTTCTTAGCTAGCGCGGCGTATTCCTCGCTGAAGTCACTGGCGTCTATTCGCATCAGTGTTGTCGAGGAACAGGAGGGAATTAGTGTGCTGTCTCGTGAGCTTTTGACCACCCAGAAGCAGAGCTTTTTCGACGGACGAGATCAATGGTGCTAGCGCTCACCTATTGAAACCGTGTGCACGCATTGGTTGGTATTTCATATCTACGGGTACCGCGTTTTGTGAGGACACCACACTGGCCTAGGTAGCGAGGCGAGCGACGTTCAGGCACCGTTTGCCATCATTTCTGTTGCAGAAGAACTTGCAAAAGTAAGTTACTATAGAACTGCAAAAGAAATGCCCTCGTACTAGGTAGTCACTAAATCAAGAACTACTATAATTCGGAGTGCTTATCGAGGGTTGAAGTTGAAGCTAATAAGCCAATCAGCATTGGCTCAATACTCAATCCAAAGGTCACACGAAGTGGTACCATCAAGCTTCGCGCAACACACAGTTTTTCGCGCGCTTTTCCAACTTGCGCTTTGAGTTCGCGCAACACGCAGATTTTCGCCCGTGGGTTCGCTCCGGTATCTACGCCAATCACGCCCCCATCGTTTGAATTTGCGGCGTGTAATTGGCCAGCCAATTCGCGGCCAATCACGCTCGCGCTGCGATCCGTGCCAGAAGATCGTTTCCGCGCGCTCAATCCCAAACCTCATTTCCGAAATCGGCAGCTACTGCTCCAGCGCGCTTCCCCACCTATGCCGTCGCCGCCAAGGCCGCCGCCATGGTCGTCGTGCTGCTCTCGCTGTGCCGGCCGCCGCCATGGTCGTCGTGCTGCTTTCGCTGTCCCCGCTACCGCTACGCTCGCCGTGACGCTGTGACCGGGCTCACCAGAATACTGCCCGACGGTCGCCCGTGCCGCCGCCATGCTCACCATCTCGCCATGCTGCTGTCGCTGTGCCGGCCGCCGCCATGCTCGTCATGCTGCTCTCGCTGTCCCCGCTACCGCTACGCTCGCCGTGACGCTGTGGCCGGGCTCACCGGAATGCTGCCCGACGGTCGCCCCTGCCGCCGCCATGCTCACCTTCTCGCCATGCTGCTGTCGCTGTGCCGGCCGCCGCAATGCCCGCCGTGCTGCTCTCGCTGTGCCGGCCGCCGCCATGCTCGTCATGCTGCTCTCGCTGTCC